ACACATACACATACTACACACACACACACATATATATATATATATACTAATATATACATATATATATATATATATATATATATATATATATGTATATATATATTTTATATATATATATATATGTACACATATATGTGTACATAATTATATGTATGTCTATATGTCTATGTCTTTATTTATATATGTTTGGCTTATAGCCTTTGCCCACCGTTCACGCACCCAGGAACACGACGCTAGTATCCACTTTTTGTTGGAGACTAAGCCTAAGCCCGAGTACTTCAACGATGACATCACACGTCGTGTAGCGCGCATGCAGGCCGTTATTGGACTGGGACGGGTGATCCGCGACAGAAACACTTTGCCCGTCAAGTAGGTGTCAATAACGCAGGCGTGCGCATCATTGTTAGAGATGTAAATCCAAATTATGTTGGCATGATAGGGACGTGTAGGGTTTGGGTGTATTTGTAAACGCTCGAATATGTTGTGGCTGATAGGAGAATGAAACGCCTTGCCCGTCAAGTAGGCGTTATTCGAGATATGATCGGAAATAAGTTTGTATACGCTTGAATACATGGTTGATTGATGGCATACCAACTTGCCTGTCGAGTAGGTGTCAGAAACACATGCTTGTGCGTTAATGGTTGAGAAGTGTGTGTACTTTAGGGTGATGCAGATGATAATGTGTTTATACCCGCTCGAAACTGTGAGTGATAGGAAACCGAAGAACCATGCCGGTCAAGTAGTTGTTATGCTTTGTGTTTATGGGACAGGTTCTGGTAGTAGCCGCGTATCTAATACACCCAGCTCTGCACGTCTCGTGGTCGGGTGTTGTCATGGAAACCGAAGCATCTTTGCTGTTTATGTAGGTGTCAATAAGACCTGTATGCGCGAGTATGCCAGAGCTGTATCTGTATTGTGTTTAAAGGTATGATTGTATATCAGTATATGCGCATGTATATTCTGAGTGATAGGAGACCGAAACAATTACTCTGTCAAGTAATTTCTGATCACACGTGCGTGTGCGAGAACGGTACCAATAGGTGTGTGTTTTGAAGTGTGATATAAGTGTGATGTGAACTATCGATCTGGATCATAGACGTGTGTCAGATGAGTATATATGCTGTGTATCGATCTGAGACGACACCACATAGCTAGTCATGTAATTGCCAAAAGCAAATGAGGTTTTGTGTGTCATAACATCACTTGAATCTCTCGCTCTCTCGTTCGTTCTCGTCAGGAACTAGGACTTCCATGACACCTGCCAACTTACTTCTCTTTATCCTTGCCCCCGATACTTTCAAGACTCCCTTGACACACTCGCGTCCCTACTTCATACACTGACACCATATCAAACGACTAATTTGCGAGTGCTTATATTGCTTGCGCTGTGCATTAACACACACACACACACATACAAACACAAACACAAACACACCCAAACATACACACACACGCACACACTCCCACACCACTCTTGTAATACCCACAGATACCCTCTCAAGGAGCTGGTAGTGCTGCACTCTGACGAGCAATATCTGGAGGATGTGCAATCCATGGCGTTCTACATCAAGAGTGAGCTCAACATCAACCAATTGATCACCTCCAACGACGAAGCCAAGTACGGCATCAGCCTGCGCGCAACCGTAGACTTCAAGAAACTCGGTAAGACTAGTGGGGGGGGGGGTCTAATGTTGTTGTGTTTCTTGTTGAGTGTGTGCGGTGTGGCTATAGACGGATGGATTTGTGTTTATTGTACTCGGTACTGTGGACTGTCCTTAGCTCGTAGACTGGTTATGGGAGTGCGCTGGGTTGACTTGTATGTGAGATGCAAATAGACGGGTAGTTACAGGGCCAGCTGACGCGCCACGGGGGACATTAGAAACTGGATAACGTACATACACATTTGTGCGCGCTTGCAAAGGCTGTGGTTGTTTATGAATTCAATAATTGGTTGATCGTTGTACGTAAGAGACCAGGCAAGGACGAGGAGAAGGTCAAGGCTATCCACACGCTCGCTAGTCACACATACGTCAATAGAAACTCACATGCACTCAAATACTTTGAATTTAATACTTTATTAGTCATTGTACGTAAGCGACTAGGCAAGGACATTAAGAAGCACAGCACTAGTCACACTCCTTACAACCAGAACTAGTAGTTGCGAAACACATACACTTGATACTTTCCACTCAAGTATATCTGGTTCGTTGTAGGTAAGCGACTGGGTAAGGACATGAAGAAGGTCAGCACCGCTGTGGCCAAGATGGACTCGCCTGCGTGCCGTGAGTATGCGGCGAAGGGCTCACTCACTGTTGAGGGCCACACTCTGGAGGGTGACGACATCACGGTGTGTTTTAGGTGTTCTGCTTAGGTATGCAGTGCATGTACGTGTGTTGTATGATAGACTTGTACTTGTGTTGAATGGTAGGCGTCGTGTTTGTCAGTATATATATATATATATATATATATATATATTTGATGTGAATGCGTGTGCTTCCGGGTCTGCATAGAGCTACAGTGGTGTATAGTATGTATGCTTAGATGTGCGTCAAAAATCCAGGTAGTAACATGCATACAAATGAAGATTTATTTTCTTTTTTTGAGACTGACATGCCATATCGTATTGCAACACAGCTCATCCAAGTGTTTGGCAACGAACAAGGGGACCACACATACGCACACAACTCAGACAACGATGTGCTCTGTCTTCTGGACACGCATCTGACCGAAGAGTTGAAGTCCGAGGGTCTTGCGCGTGAGATCATCAGTCGTGTACAGAAGGCCCGAAAAACAGTACGTATCTCAATGCATGTTGGAGACTTGGTTATTAGTTTCAGACGTGTTTATTATATATATATATATGATTGATATGTATCAATCGAACTTGATTAAGTATTTACTTCCATTAGTACCCAATTTTAATCTCTTTATGCTTTGTCCGTTTGCATAGGCGAATGTTGAGCCTCTGGATCCACTCAACATTGTGTATACTTTCTCTGACGATGCCGCGAATGACGAGCTGAAGAAGGTAAGTCTGGAACCTGGCTCTAATCTGAGCGGTCATACTGTATATTCCTTTTCTTCCATGGCCTATTGCAAACCTTTTGCTTTTGAAGAAGGCTGGTCGTATTTGGAGTCGTAAAGATTGTGACCGTCTCTGGTACAGATAAAACTTCACAGGAGTGTAGAGGATGATATTTTTATGTTCCAATCAGCGATAATCGAGAAACAGTTATACTAATTATCTAATTAACTTATTTTATACTCCGCAAACAGGTTTGTGAGTCTCACAAAGACTTCATCGAGAACCTGATCCGCAATCCATTCGTTGCCAAGGCTGCGGCACCCCCAACAAACGTTGCGCTATTTGAAGAGGACTGTACCATCAACGAAGGCACTGTGACTCTAGCTGTGCACAGACGAGAAAGTTAAATAAATAACTCATCCAGTTTGTGCTACTTTGCGGTGTACGAAGACAGATTCAACAGTACACTTCTCTGTCGTCTAGGCTTTTATCAGAAAAAACGATTATTTTTGCTACATGTATGGTGGATACAGATTTTATTAAGAATGCTTTTTTGCTCGTGTTTGGTGGTACATATGTGATATGAACCGACTTTAATCATTAAAAAAAATGCTTTGTTGCTACGTGTATGTGTGGTGGTATGTGGTACATAACGTATAGCACTGAGTGCTGGCGGCTTTCGCACATTTGAAATAAAAATCTGGGCCGTATGTACCGAAAAATTACCCTGGCTCAGAAACCTTGGATCAGGTCTCACATGCGAGTTAACGTAAATAAATGCTAAGTATAACCTGACTGGAAAATCGGGCTATATGTGCACAGGACAGGAGAGGTGACCCCTCCTTTTGGTTGCCTCAAGCGTAGCCACCAAGTTTCCTGACAATTTCAAGGGAGTGCGTTTAGTTCGAGTTAAGGCTCTTACATAATACATAATTATGCAGGCGTTGTGTAGAGCTATCGGGTTCACGATAAGATTCACTTTCGTAGTTACATATTCCGCGGCCAGCAAGTCTGCGATAGATCTCTCACCATCACAAACGGAAAGCGGCCGTTTATATAGCTAGTAGTATGTCGGCTCCACGGCAATTGATTGTCCATAGTAGGATATTCGTATGGAATGCACTAGAGTATGCATCCTTGTGGTTCTAATACGTTTTAAACGGAATGTTATTCTTTTAGTTCCCCTGTTCTCTAGAGACATGAATTTGACTCAAATCATCAATACTACACACACAAGAATATTGATACAGACAAGAACATTTTAATCAAAACTGTTACTTCGGATAATACGCGCTAGGATATCTGTCTTACTATCAACTACCGTTCGATTACTCGCAGGTACCGGACAGTCATGTAATAATACTTTGATGTAGCATATTTAATGTAACCGAGCAAGCATGCAACGTAGCGAGCTATTAGTGTGGAGCTGTTTAAATAAGGATCTGACTCAGACTGAGACTCCTGAAGCGACACAGTCAAGATATGGTCATCACTTTTTGGATTTCGCCGAATGCCGGTCTCCCATTGGTTGATGGACGACTTTACGTCGTCTTACGCCCTTTGCGGAGGCGATGCGCTATGTACTGTACTACGAGTGGTCTGTCACAAGTTCAACTCGCGAGTGTTTCAGTATTCTGCGCTGAGTGCGCTCAGCAAGAACATACATTTCTTATATGATCATTGTTCTGAAAAGAAGCTGCTGAGTGAGGGCTACTTGCAAATTGAAACGCACTAAAATACATACAACCGGGAAAGTGCACACAGTGTAATTCCTTCGAACTAGCCCAGACTCGACAAAGTTATGGGTATGGCCGCGGCAGACGAGGAGAGCAGTCGCACTGCACCTCTAGAAGTTGATAGTCATAGCCACCAAGATAATGGCAAGAAGCAAGGCTTGGACGTTGACAAAGATGAGATAGTGACTGATAACACGCTCAATGTGGACGTGCGGGGGTTGGGCCCAGACCTTAGTGAGATTCCGAAAATAGGCCCTACTAGCGAGCCCAATCCAAAGGACACCTCGAGTATCTTCTCACAGTTTACCTGGTCGTAAGTAGAGTTGTTTAAGCGCAGGATTCTACATGAAATCAACTACACACACATGCACACACACACAAACACACACACACACACACAGATACACACACACACACACACACACACACAC